AGTTGGTTAAGGATCTGACTCTTAATTTCAGCTCAGGTCATGATCTCCGGGTTGTGAGATTGAACCCCACATTGGGCTCCATGTTGAGCTTAGCGCTGGACATGGCACATCCTTAAAATTTTCTCTCTCTCTCTCTCTGCCCCTCCCCTGCTCCTGCACTTGCACTCGCTCTCTCTCTCCCTCTCTCTCTCTCAAAAAAAAAAAAAATTGAACTGTCCTCAGTTACGGTCAGGTGCACCTGGATCCAGGTGCTCAGGTAGTGCCAACGAAGATGTGACCTGCCACCTTTAGTCTCTGCTTTCTAGTGTGCTGACTCCCATTCAGGCTCTACCAGTGTGGTGGCCAAGATGGTTATCATCAGTTCCAGCCTTAGTTGGAAGTTTCTCAAAATTCACTCCAGTCCTCTTTTATAAAGTATAAACAAAAACTTAGCCGTCTGTCAGAGCAGGGCTACAACTCCCCACTGCCCATTCCTTTCCCAAACAAGGGGTTAAGGAGTTTAAGGTTCATAGTCTGTACTTTCCTTGATCCTCGAAGGCTCTCAGGTGACATCTGAGAGGTGCTGAGTGTGCCTTTGGTAGGAGTGAGTGAAAGGTACACCCTTTCAGTGGCCTTAAACTTGATTATACATTGTGATCAACACAAATGCTTACTACCCGAAACCTGAGATTTTTAATGTAATATGAGAGGCAATAGGGTGGGGAAAGCAAAGGTCTCATTAAATCCCAACCACTGATACTTGAACTGCCACCAGAAGAGGCCTTTAGTTTTCTTTTTTAATACCTGTCATCAGACACCAAGAAAGATTGCACTCCCTAGCCCCTGCTTTTTAAGCTGTGCAGTCCCAAATCACGGAAGCCTCTGCTAGGCTGCAGAGGAGTGCAAGCTTTCTTTAATTAAAAAAAAAAAAAAAAGTTGGGGGCAGCCCGGGTGGCTCAGTGGTTTAGCGCTGCCTTCGGTCCACGGTGTGATCCTGGAGGCCAGGGATTGAGTCCCACATCGGGCTCCCTGCATGGAGCCTGCTTCTCCCTCTGCCTGTGTCTCTGCCTCTCTCTCTCTGCCTCTCTCGCTCTCTCTCTCTCTCTCTCTCTCTCTCTCCCTCTGTGTCTCTCATGAGTAAATAAATAAAATCTTAAAAAAAAAAAAAGTTGTTGGGGTGCCTGAATGGCTTGGTCAGTTAAGCACCCAACTCTGGGTTTCAGCTCAGGTCATGATTTCAGGGTCATAAGATGGAGCCCCATGTCAGTGCCACTCGGCACAGAATCTACTTGAGATTCTTTCTATCCCTTTCCCTCCCCCTTGCTTGGTCATACACACATGCACATGTGCGTTCTCTCTCTTTCTCTCAAATAAATAAAACCTTTTAAAAAAGTTGTTGCCAAATATTTTGGGCATACAAAAAAGCACAAATAATAACGTAATGAATTTCTGTATGCCTGGCACTCATCTTAAGAAATAAAAATTTAAATCCCCCAAGATAACCACCATCCTGCATTTGATGTTTATCACCCTCATGCACATTTACTACATAAGTCTGAGAACAATAGACAGTGCTATTTGGCTTATTTTTAAGCTTCATCTAAATGCTATCATTCTATTGCTATCTTTCTGCAGGTTGCTTTTTTCCTCTTTGACCTTATATTGATATGTGATATTCTGGTTTGTTAATTTTCACTGCTATGTAGTATTCCTCTTAAACATACTGCAAATGTTCATGATTCACCTATGTATAGACAGCAAAGTTATTTCCTTTTCTTCACTATTATAAAAGGGCTGCTGTGAGCATTCTTGAATGGGTCTTGTACAAATGTGCAAGAATTTCTTCAGGTTATATATGTAGGCATAGAACTAGAGGGCTAGAGGGTGTATGTGCCTCTTTATTCCTGCTAGCCGTTACCAAATGGTTGTGCAAAATGTTTGGGTCAACTTACACTGTCAGTGGCTATTTCTTTTTTTTGTAAGGGGTGGGGGCAGAAGGAGACAGGAAGAGAGAGGATCTTAAGCAGACTCCATGCCCAGTGCAGAGATCTCACCACCTCAAGATCATGACCTGAGTCAAAATCAAGAGTCAGACACTTAACCAACTGAGCCCCCCAGGTGCCCCTCCCCAGCTATTTCTGAGCTGTTGCTCGCCTCCATATCCACTCTGGAGTGTGGATTGTTTAACTTTTATATTACTCCTTAAGTTGTGCTAATCTGAAAATAAAATGGAATCCCTTTACTATTTAAATTAGTATTTTCCTGATTACTAAGGTTAAAGCTTTTTGCTCATGCACAAGCCTAATAGGTGAAGCTAAACTGGGCAGGGTTATTTGGAAGGAGCAGTGGTTCATATTTAAGATCCCTGTGCTATTGCATTGATTGTTTTAGAACCTTTGGATGATACCTGTGCTCCTAAATATTAAGCATAATTTCAGGCAAACAAGTTTGTACTAGATCTCTTTTGTAGTATGTTTTGAATAATCTTTTGCCTTAAAAAAAAAAAAAAAAAAAAGCCCTGCTGCCTCCAGAGCTCTGGATCCCCTTGGCAGTGGTGGCCTGTGGCCTGTGGCAATCGGACTGTGATTTTAGCATCATCTATGGCACACCCTTCCCATCCTTTTACATAAGTTAGTTGAGTGCTGACTTTCATAGTTGGTATGAAAACTGGCCCACAGAGCAGAGGAAGAGATGACATCGGAGTCCACACGGCAGGGGTCCTTCCGTTCACTAGGCATGATCCTGATCAAGCACCTTTAGTCTGTCTCCTCTGCCTGGAATGCTCCTCACCCAGAAATGCACATGACTCACCTCCCCACTTCCAAGTTGTCAGATTTCACCATCTCTGTGAGGACTTTCCCAGCTTTGCACAGTATAAAAGTACCTACCAGCCTATCAGCCACTCTTGTATTGCCTTCTGCTCAGGATTTATTTCCTTCATAGCCCTGATCACTGGATAACTTTCTGTGTCAGTTACTTAGTTGCAGCTACTTCGTTCTTTGTCTTTCCTCTACCACAGTTTCTGCAAGGACAAGCATCTTGGTCTGTTTTGCTCTCTTCCTGGTACGTAGAGCAGTTCTTTGCACATAGTCCTTAGTATAGATTTGTTGATTAATAAATGGTCTGAAGTTAGCAGGAAATAGCAGAGGAGGGATCCCTGGGTGGCGCAGCGGTTTGGCGCCTGCCTTTGGCCCAGGGCGCAATCCTGGAGACCCGGGATCGAATCCCACATCGGGCTCCCGGTGCATGGAGCCTGCTTGTCGCTCTCTCTCTCTCTCTCTCTCTCTCTCTGTGGGACTATCATAAATAAATTTTTAAAAAAAATAAAAAAAGAAATAGCAGAGGAGAGGATTTCTGAGAAAGACACACACACACACAGCAAGACAGAATGCATGTGCCAAGACCTGGAGACAACCCAGCAGTCTACTGACCAGAAACAAAAATGGATGGAAAGTATGAGTATGTGTGACTATGGCTACGAATATGAATGGTTCTCCCCCGAGGCTGGGGGTGTTGGAGGCAGTTGCAAGAGATGTAACTAGAAGCCATGATGATCAGTTTGGACTCAATCTGGAGGGCAGCCAGGAGCCCTTACATTATTTTAATCAAAAGAATAACATTCCTATTCGCATTGTAGAAGAACATCACTCTGGTGCCAACAAGAAGAAATGATAGGGTGAGAATTAAAGGATAAGACTGGAGGCAGGTGGGCCATCTAGGGAAATGGCACAGTGGCCGAGATGAGAAAAGCTGGTGGTCTCACCAGGTAGCAGCAGGTGGATGAAGAGAAGCAGACAACTTCGGGTGGTACTTAGGATATGTCTAGTGTCTTTCTGTGATCTCTGCAATCAGTGGAATCTGTATCTCAGCATCGGAGCTTAGTTGAGCCTCCAATAAGCTCCTCTTAAGTGAGCAAATTGGAAAGCCTTCTGATGTGCTCCACCCACATCTTCACCTCCCCTCCCAGTGAAAGAAATCTGGAGCAAGACTGCCATGATTCAACAAAGCAGTGGCTAATGGAGCAGTGCAGGGATTGGACTAGGAGGTTTTGGAAGGAAGGTAGCATTCCATGTCCAATTTTCCCCGGCCTCCAACTCTTTTGTGCAAGTAAATTAGTTTCATTTGTCTCAGGGCACCTTTTCCAGGCCAACTCCTTCCAACTTGCCTGCAAATGTCTCTCAGTGGTGTGTTTGAGGCTTGGCTGCATCTCCTTGTCTGGAACAAATCTTTTATTACGAGGAAATAGCTGGATGATGATTCTGGACTCTTGGACCTTATTCCCCTCTCAGCTGTTGACTCAGGATTTGATACCTTGGTAATTTGCAGCTTAACCTGCCTCCTTGCCTGCCTGTTTCTCATTAATATGACTTACATACTGGAAGCTGAATTTCAGACCTGCCACCTCAGCAATCTTGAGCGAGACGGTTAGGATTAACACCTGTTTCTCAAGACTCTCCAAAGATGTGATGGAGGGACATATGTTATTTTCTTTGCTCACCTCCCAGACTTGCATGATTTTCCTTTGGTGCGGTGGTCATGCATTCCACTGCAACCTAAAACCATCCAGATGATGGGGATATCATGTTGCTGGTTTCACATGGGAAAGCCACAACCCACCCTCATTTTGTTCATGTTGCGTTCAAATCTAATTTGCGTGGCCCGTGTGAGTGTGAGCACCACAGCCCCAGTGTCAGCTGTTGGACGTTTAGCAACTTACTATTTCCAAACATGGGCCATTCGGCAGCCAGCAGGCACTCTCGACAGCTGAGTGGGGCAGAAAAAGTCTCAGACACCTATGACAGTCCAAACAGTGACTCATCCTGCTATTGCCAGGATAAATACAGGAATAAATGGTATTTTTCTCTAAGCAGGAAGAATTGTCAAAATGCTTATCACTTTATAAAATATAGCAGATTGTAGCTGTTCATGTCTTGAAATGTTCCAACAATTCACTAGCTGGGCTTTTTTTAAAAAATTTTGTGAGTCTATTAATAACCTTAAATTGTTTCTCTTCTTCCTAGGAGGCCTGGAGAACTCAGGAGTTTTCAGGCTGTGCTGCCTCCAGAGCTCTGGATCCACTTGGCTGTGGTGGCCTGTGGCAATCGGCTGGAGGAGACGCTGGTCATGCTCAAGTCAGCTGTACTCTTTAGCCACCGGAAGATCCAATTCCACATCTTCACAGAAGACTCTCTGAAGCCCGAGTTTGATAAGCAGGTGAATTTGTAGACATGGTGGCGCAGTAGTTACTGAGTGCAGACAGACTGCATTTTGGGACATGCATATCCCGTTCACTAATGTGATTCTCTAATTTTTGCTATGTACTCAGCGTGGGACCACGAACTCTTGACTCTGAGCCTTACTGTTCTCATATATAATGTGGGGATAGTCACACCTACCTTACAGAGCTATTGTAAGGGTTCTGTGAGATGATGAACTTGAAGCACTTGACCCCAGGGCCTAAGCCCTCTGGTGTAGTTAACATTGCTCTCATTTAGGGGGCAGGTAGCTTTCTACAAGTTATATGTGTTTTTTGAGTGACAAGTAATAAATGTTCATTAAAATAAATTCAAATGATACAGATGTTATAGATTAAAAGGCAGGTGTCCTTGATACCCCCAGTCCCACACAAAAAACAATCAGTTATCAATTGAGTTATTCCATATTTTTTCATGTACAAGTGTGTGTTTGTGTGTATCTGTGGTGTATGTATGTATGTGTGTATACATGTATATTTATAATCATATACCTGAATAACACATATAATTGTATGTGCCCAGATTAAAACATATTTCTTTTATAAAAGCAAGGTTATTCTCTATGTGTTGTACTGGAACTTGCTTTTCCTCCTTGAAAACCATATTTCATTGCATCATTCCAGATCAGGACTCAAACATTCTTACCTCATCTTTTCTGGTGACCGTGTAATGTTTTATCATGTGCCCAGATCCTTGTTTACTTGGCTATTCTGATACTGAAGAACAGGTGATGATTTTTTACCACTGCACAAGGAGAGCTTTGGAAATACCTCTTCTCCCCAGTCTAGGTACGTGTGTGACTTTACAGACCACACTTGGCTTTGTCCTAGATGTTTTCTCTTGCGGTAAGGCCTTGAGTGCTAGTAGAGAAAGAAGCGGTTTTGTTTTGCATCTACTCACTTGGGGTCAGCAGGGCCTCCTCCTGTCACCAGCCTGGCTGCACTAATGAGAAATGCCAAAGAAGCATGTTAGGCAGAGAAAGGCTAATGACAGAAGGCTAGAAAATGTGTTATGTTTTCTAAAGAAAAATATCACCTTGACATCATCACCAAGAGAAGCCAAAGAGTCTCAGAGCTTTGAAATTGATTAGAAAATGACTTGAAGGGCAGCCCGGTGGCTCAGCGGTTTAGCGCCGCCTTCAGCCCAGGGCCTGATCCTGGAGACCTGGGATCAAGTCCCGCGTCAGGCTTCCTGCATGGAGCCTGCTTCTCCCTCTGCCTGTGTCTCTGCCTCTCTCTCTCTCCCTCTCTGTGTCTCTCATGAATAAATAAATACAATCTTAAAAAAAAAAAAAAAAAACAGAAAATGCCTTGAAAAAGATCGGAGTCAAAGGAAGGGGAAGGGGTTGGAACACACATGGTTTGCTGCTCTGCAGCTGTGGTGAAAAGAGATGGTGATGATAATTACCATTTATCAAGGGCTTCTGATTTATGATTTACTCCTACTTAACCCTCACCAGAAGGTAGCAATCATGTCCCTCTTTTGCAAAGAGTTTTAGTGATTTACTCATCAGGTGTTGGTTCAAGGTCACAGCTTCAGACCTCCATGAGCTTGTACCCAACTACCTCTCCAACTAGTAGACGGAAGACTCATCTGCAAAACTCAGCACCCTGTGTGCTTGCTGCCAGATCTCAGGCAAGCCTTGTGGCCTTTTAGAGCTTCAGCTTCCCTGTCTGTAACCTGAAGCTATCAGCATTGATAAAAGAGCTAAGGTGTCTAGAATCAGGATAGGTTAGGTCAGGCTGCCATAACACCTCCTGAAAAGCTCGGAGATTTTCCATGTTCCTGCTGTTTTTCTCACACGGGCGCTTAGGTCTGGGACAAAGATGACAGAGATTGTGCCTTTTTTTTTTTAGTTTATTTATTTATTTATTTAGGTAATTTCTACACCCACAGTAGGGTTCAAACTCACGACCCTGAGGTCAAGAGTCACATGCTCTTTTGACTAAGCCATCCAGGCACCCCACGACTATTCACGCTTTGAGTTGCACCTGCTGGAACACTTGGCCTCTAAGTTCTTGGGATGCCATGCAGGAAAGAGAGAGACAAGTGGATCATGACTGAGCCTTTTGCTACCCCAGCTTGGCAGTGACACGAGTCTTTTCCACTCATATTGAACTGTCCAGAAGCAGTCACAAGGCTCAACAGCAAGGGGCTGAGAAGTGCTTAGTGTGCAAGAAGGGAGGAAAGTGGGCTGTGGGAAAACTCTAGCAATGTCTTGCACAGTATCCATCTAACAAGTATTTGTTGAGTACCTACTGTGTGCTAGAGGCTGGAACATGAGGATAGAGTAGAACAAAATAGATTTGAACTTGAAGAAGGCAAGGGGAAGGAAGATGTGTGTAACTATGTATATGAGGCAGATTATATTTCCCAAAGAAGCTCCCAGTGGCCCCACCTTCTGTTATTTGCACCCTAGGGTGCTCTCCTCTTTCACCGTCCCAACCCAAGGTTTGGTCTGTGTGACTGGCAGCATAGGGAAGATGCCATGCTCTGTCACTTCTGAGATTACATTTCAAAAGGCACCATGCTTTCTATCTTGGTTGCAATCACTTTCTCTCCTGAGTCACTTGCTATGGGGTAAGCCACTTTCATGTCAGAGCAGCCCTTGTCCAGGCCTACATGGTGAGGAATCAGGGCTTCTTGTGACACTCATGTGAGTGAGCTTGGAGACAGAACGTCCCACTGCATCAAGCCTTCGGATGACTGTAGCCCCAGCCAGGAGTTGGACTATACCCTCATGAGGGGCCCTGAGCCAGAACAACCCAGCTTACAGATTTTTGACTCTGAGAAACTGCATGAGAGAATACATTTTCGTGGTTTTTGAGCCACTAAATTTTGTTATAAGGTAATAGCTAATACATATGCGTCCATATGCATCATATGTATATATATGAAAAATAAAGTATGCTACATGTAATGTTTGTGTGACATTTAAGGCTTGGACATAGAAAGAATCTAGCATCTGCCTGGCTTTCTTGGGATGCCTGCCCCAGGAACCTGGCCAACATGTGGTGAGAGAGCCCAAACTAGCCCATATGGAGAGATCATGTGGAGAGGCCCACTCAGAGAGGAGCTGAGATGCCCAGCCCATAGCTGGCCTCAGTTGCCAGACACATGAATGGACTAGCATTCAGATGATTCCAGCCTCCAGTCTTCAGAGCTTCTAGCCGAGGCCCCAGATATGTAGCAGTATAAGACGCCCCTTCTGTACCTCATCCGAATTCCTGATCCATGGAATCTGTGATAGTCATTTTATACTACTAAGTGTGGAGATAATTCACTATGAGCCATGGTAATGGGCACATTATAAATTAGGAACTAAATTGTATAGGAAAATCACTGAATTTGAAAAATAATTTGAATTGCTCTGACGACTTTATCCTTGTGATGGCTCCTTTCCTCAGGTCTTTGTTAGACCAGTGAAGCTCAACTAACAAAGGAAATTGAAATAGGGTATTAAAAGACAGGCAGGGGGATCCCTGGGTGGCGCAGCAGTTTAGCGCCTGTCTTTGGCCCAGGGCGTGATCCTGGAGACCCGGGATCGAATCCCACGTCGGGCTCCCGGTGCATGGAGCCTGCTTCTCCCTCTGCCTGTGTCTCTGCCTCTCTCTCTCTCTCTCTCTCTCTCTCTCTCTCTCTCTCACTGTGTGCCTATCATAAATAAATAAAATTTAAAAAAAAAAATTTAAAAAAAAAAAAAAAAGACAGGCAGGGATCATGGTGCCAGTTTAGATATACAATCTTGACTCTTATGGAAGTCACAGAACTTTTCTCAGTCTCAGTTGTTTCATCTGCATGGAAGGGCAAATGATCCTTGCTCTGTTATTGCAGAGCATACTTGTGAGGCTGAATCAGATGATCTGTTTATTCTTTCGTTCCCACAAAGATTCTTTGGAACATCTCCTGAACCTTGCTAGCCCTAAGTAGTAGGGCTTTGTGGGCAGTTGGTTTGTGTGTAGCCACAGGAGATGCTGGTATGGAGGGGCAGCATCTGCCACCCTTCACAAGGGTCTCATTTCCAACCCTGAGGCATTGTGGGAGTATCCAGTTTCTTGTGATAACTTCCTGCAAAGCTCAGGGCAGTGTGTCTGAGGGTAAAAACAAAACAAAGTGCCGGTTGACATTATGATTCCTCTGGAAGCTGCTTTAGGGGTGAATTCTATTATATATAAGCAGAATGTTTTTTAAAATTTCTAAGTACAATAAGTCTAGTGGTACTTACCAGGTATAATGTAGATACTTAATACTTTGGCGTTTCATTTATTTTTGTCATCTCTCAATATAGAAACTGAAAATGCCAGCTGGTTGATTTCCTAGCCTTTCCAGGCAGCTCGGGAATCAGACATGTGTTTTAGGTTTGGCTCATCTGTCAGGAAAAAGTGGGACACAGAAGGGGGGATAACCACCAATCCATTCTGGTGATAGGTGGTGCCAGTGGGATGGAAACATGCTGTGTGTGTGTGTGTGTGTGTGTGTGTGTGTGTCTCTAACACAGGAAGAGGTGTCAACAGGAACTTCCAGTGGCTGGAGTTGGTATACTATTCAAATACATGTACTGAAACAAATGTAAATGGACTGAACATTCCAGTTGAAAGACATAGATTGGCAAAGGTAGATAAACCCTTCTAGAAGATAGGATACTAAAGATCGAAGAGTCAAGGAAACCCTCAGACCATGGGACCTTCCCATTCTCCTTCTGGGGCCGATTTTGGACTATTGTGCTGAGTTTTACTGAGTATTTTTCCCTAGTGTCCATGGGCTTGGTCAATATTGTCACACTGAGTGTTTATGACCAATGTTATTTCTAACGTGTCAGGACAGTTGTGCCGGGTTTTGTGCCTGGTGTGGGTTCTAATTGGTCAGTGCCCTTCATAAATCAGTTATCAAATACTTTATCACTCCTCTTCTTTCTCACTCTGAGATTTCTCTCTCATATATCCATCTCTAAACTTCAAGTTTAAAGCATTATCAATGGTATGTTTCTTCAAACATTTTTATGTGACCATATAAGCAACATGTGTACATTGTAAAAAAAAATCATAAAATTATAAATAAAAAAATCAACCATCCTAATGGTCAGGAAAAGCAATTTTAACCTATTTACTTATCTTTCTTTTTTTATATATCAACATCCAAAATGGGATCATACTTTATATTTCCTCTCACATCACTGAGTCTTATATTACTGAGTTTCTTCTAAATCTGGGGTTGTCTAACTTTTCTCTGTAAAAGACCAGACAAAAGCTTTTTTAAGCTTTGCAGGCTGTGTGGTCTTGTAGCTACTCAAGTCTGATAATCAGTGTAAAAGCAGCCATAGAAATATGTAAACATACTTAGGTGTGACAGTGTTCCAATAAAGCTTTTATTTATGGACTCTAAAATTCAAATCTCATGTGATTTTCACATGTCACAGAATATTACTCTTGTTTTTACTTTTTAAAGCTATTTATAAGTGTCTAATCATTCTTGGCTTGTGTGCTTTTTGTAGCAGGCTGGATTTGGTGTTTGCACTGCCAGTGGCTTGCTAACCCTTATTGTACTGTGTTGTTACTAGTAGCTGCATGATATTCTGTTATGTAGACATACCCCAGAGCTTTTTAGCCAAATTGTTATTTAGGTTGTTTCCAGCTTTGCACTGTTACAGATAGCGTTATGATAATATTGTTATAAATATGAATGCACTTTTAAATTTTTCCTTAGAAAATTCTTAGAAGTAGGGCATCCCCGGTGGCTCAGCGGTTTAGTGCCGCCTTCACCCCGGGCATGATCCTGGAGACCTGGGATCGAGTCCCACATCGGGCTCCTGCATGGAGCCTGCTTCTCCCTCTGCCTGTGTCTCTGCCTCTCTCTCTGTGTGTGTGTATGTGTGTGTGTGTCTCATGAATAAATAAATAGATCTTTAAAAAAAAAGAAAATTCTTAGAACTATTGAGTCAATGGGGAAGCATTAACTCAAAAAATTAAGAAGATACACAGATGGCAGATAATCATACGAAAGAATGCTCAACATCATATCATTGGGGAACTGCAAAGGAAAACAATGAGATACCATTGCACATTTCTTAGAATGGCTAAATCTGCAACATTGACAACACAAAATGCTGCTAAGGATGTGCAGCAACAGAAACTCTCCTTCATTGCTGGTGGGGATGCAAGATGGTACAGCTACTTTAGAAAACAATTTGACACTTTCTTAGAAAGCTAAATGTAGACTATACAGTCCAGCAATCACACTCTGCGATTTACCTTGATGAACTGAAAAATTGTCTAAAAACCTGCACGTGAATGTTTACAGCAGCTTTATTTATAATCACCCAGTCTGGAAGCAACCAAGATACCCTTCTGCAGGTAAATGCATAAACAAATCATTGTATATCCATACAAGGGAGGAACCTTAAGTGAATTTTGTATAAGAAGGCCAATCTGAACAGGTTATATACTGTATGATTCCTATTATATCACATTCTGGAAAAGGCAAAATTAAGAGACAGAAAAATAATTAGTGGTTGTAGGAATTCAGTGGGAGGGAAGGTGGAAGGGGTAAATAGGTGGAAAAGAGATTTTTAGGGTGCTGAAACTATTCTGTAATGGTGGATACCCAATATTATGCATTTGTCAAAGCCTATAGAATGTACAACACAAAGAGGGAACCCTAAGGTAAGCTATGGACTCTACTTACTAACATAATGGATATTGGTTCATCAGTTGTAAGAAATACACGACACTACTGGAAGATGTAGGTAATGGGGAAAGTGTGGGGATGGGGGAAGAGTGGGATGGTACATGGAATTCTGTGCTTCCTTTTCAGTTTTCCCATAAACATAAAAGTCCTCTAAAAAATAAAGCCCATTAAATAGTTTTGTTATGATATTAACATATGCAAAGAAAATAATAATATATACTCAGTGTGAAAGTTCTAAAGAACACAGAAATATAAACTTAAAAAATGAAACCACCACCTCCACAGGTACCCACTTTTAACAGTTTAGTGTCTATCTGTCTAGATTTTCTCTTCGTATAAAATACACATGCATATATTTTCCCTTTAAGACAGAAACATAAATTTTTTTTGCAGTTTGCATTTTCTAAAGTCTATATATAATAAACATTTTTCCTTGTCAGCACATATAGATCTACTTTAATTGTTACAATAGTCTATTGTATAGTTCTATCATAATTTTCCCAATTCCCAATTATAGGGCATTTAGTTTGTTCTCATGGTTTTTTTGTTGTTGTTGTTATTTTGTTTGTTTGTTTGTTTTTATTACAAACTAGCCTGTGTTGAAAGTCCTGTGCCTTTATCTTTTAGGATTGGTTGTTCCCAATTTCCAAATTGTCCTCTTGGAAGTTTATTCAAATTTATATTCCCCTTGTGGTGTTTATGTACCAGTCTCCTAACATCCTTGACAAATCTGGATGTTATTTTTTTTTTTTTAATGCTAGCTATGGTCTTTCATTCATTGAGCATTAATCATTGTGGTGAAGTTGGGTAAGTTATCTGAATAATTTCCACTTAAACATCCAGAAGCTTCAGGTGTTTTCCATATTTCTGGGGCCTATTCACCCTCCCCTTGTCTTCCTTGTTTTTCAGTTACGACAGTGGCCTGACTCATATACAAAGAAATTTGAGCACAGAATCTACCCCATCACGTTTTCAGTTGGAAACCCTCAGGAATGGAAGAAATTATTCAAACCGTGTGCTGCTCAGAGACTCTTTCTTCCGGTAGGAACAAGGGCTTTTAATCAAATGATGCTTGTGAGATCATTACTCTTGGAAACATGGTGGAATTAACTGGTGTGTGTTTAGAGACATTTTACTTAGAGCTGAAATGTATTTCTCTTGGATTCTGTAATTGATTCTCTTAATTTTGGGGTATAGAGGGTTCCTGTGTTCAAGCAGTTGTCTTTCTCAAAGATTAAGGAACTGAGAGCATCCAATGCATGTGTTGGAGTATGGGTCTTTGTGACTTTGGTTCCACCTTAATAGCTTCGTGAACCTCTGTTAAGTCCCCCATCTTCACTAGGCCTCATGTTCCTCCACAGGTTTTGCACATAGTTGGCCCTCAATAAATGTTACCTTTGATAACTGTTACTTCTCTTAAAACAATGATTGCCAGATGTAGCCATGCTAGGGAACAATTCAAAAAAGGTCCAGAGTTTTTGGTTCAGCCTGTTGGTTTTTAATTTTTGGATTAAATATTTTTTGTTCCTTTTTAAAAATCCTAAATAGAAAAATCACTGAAGATGTATCAAACTCCCTTGGAGTTTGAGCCTGACAGGGCACTGAACAGGCAATTGGAAGTATGGTCTGTGCTGAAGTCTCATGGATATATGTAACCTGGGGTTTCACACTGGTCGGTGAGAGGTCATAGAACATTCTTTGGGGCTTGGCATTTATGGTGAGGCATGAACAGCATAAAAAGCAGGAATCACTGAGTGACAACGGCCTGGCTGGTAATGAGAGAGAAGAGGGTACCAAGCAGATGTAATAATATATTCAAAGAAGATAGAAAAAAAAAAAAAAGAAGAAGAAGGTAGAGTCACCAGAAAATAGGGTGACATGTGATTGAAGAGGTCAGCAGGGTTGTTTAGTCTTTGTGTTAAGGGCATTGAGAAGCCATTGACTGATTTCTAGCATGTAAATGGATGATCTGGCTTGTGTCTTAAAGAGGACACACTAGTTCATTGCAGTGGAATTGCTAGGCCAGTTACTGCTGATTTGGGCATGTTGGGTACCTTCAAGATGGATTCAGGACCTGCCTGACAAATAGAATTTACCATTGGCAAAAAAAAAAAAAAAAAAAAAAAGAATTTACCATTGGCTTGTTGTAAGAGTTGCAGGGGAGGGAGGTGAAAAGGATTTCACCCAGGTCTCTGAGCTGAACAACTATTAAGGCTGACCTGTTTGAAATTGCCAATATTCAGCTTTTTATGAGCTACAAAAAAAGGCAGTTTGTTCCGGTTCATCCTACTAAATGGATGGTGATCTTTGGAGAGATGGAAAAGACAGGAGGATAACCAGTTTTCATGGGTGTGATGAGTTTAATTTGGGTCATATTTTGGTTTTGAGGTGCTCAGGAGATGGCCATGTAGAAAAGTCTTACCATCTGTTGATTTGAAACTCTATACAGCAAGCAGCCTTTTTAGCATTTCCTACCCAGAACCTGTGAGAAGAACGAGGTCTGGCTGTACTCTGGGTGCCTATTTGCACACGCTTACTCACTCATTAAATGACCTGTTTGTCACACGCCACAGACCTTCATGTGAGATGGGACTAATTGCATAAAAGTGTGGGTAAGGAAAGACTACCTCAGACTGGAACTAAAATCTGTAGGTTGATGATATAAAAACGAATTACTATTTCAGAAGATGAGAAAAAATGTCAGGTTTCTTCTTATCTCTGTTTTAGGGGAGAAAATGTACTCAAAAACCAAGGTTACTATTGGAAGATTGTCTTTCCAAACTATCCAAAAAATACAAGCAACCCAGTGAAACCACATTTGAATTTCCCCTGACCTTGTGTGGTGACTTTTTGCCACTATTAAAAAAACAAACCTACCACATGATGATTTTCATTCATTCCCAGCTAAGTAAGTATTGCATTTTGAATGACAAATGAGTGCTGGCATTCCTTATCTGCTTTTGATAATGGAAACTAGCCCTCCTTAAAAATAATAAAGAGAGATTGTGGTTGACAGGACATTTACCTTCTCCAGGTTGTACATCATAACAGCAGATTATGAATGTAGCATTTTTGGGCATCAGTAGAATGTATTGATCCTCAGGGTAATTTGAAATAAAGTCTAGGTGATGTTTTCCTTGAAATTCATCTCCGTAAAACCAAATCAAATGTACTGCTGAGGCAAGAGAGAAGATGGAGATCCCAAAATGCAAACATTCTAGCAAGCAGTAGGTCAATCAACTGAGAACCACAATCACCCATATTCCAAGGAGGTATAATCTACCCTAAGCCTGTAGTAAAAAAAAAAAAAAAAACCAACAACCTTCTCACATAAGATTTTACTATCAGAATAAGATCAGAGAACAGGTCTGCAGCTCAAGCTTATTAGATTCACAAGTACAATTAGTAGAACTCAGATCCCCCCAATTCATGATTTATGAAGTCCTGGAAACAGTGGACATTTAATTTTCTATTTCTTTGAATAATAGTCCTAAGAGCAAGACCATTATTAGTGCAAAGTAAACTGCAGATGGCTTCTACTAGTAAGCTCTCAAAGATGCATACTGTTCTCAGGTAACTCAGAAGCTTAAAGTATTTAAAACAATCTGCCAATTATAAATAAATTATATCTGTTCTTTAAAATTTATTCTAGAGTACTTTTCCCTTTTTCTTTAGTAATAGCTATAAAACTTTCACTATTGTAAAAATAATTGAGCGTCATGAATTCAGATCACCTCTCTCCCATTTAATTGGAATCGGTGAGATTTTCTGATGGATCTATACATTTTGTTACACACTCTGCCTCCTTGCTTCCAAGATTTCATTTATTTATTTGAGAAAGAGAGACAGAGAGAGAGAAAGAGAGAGAGAGCATGAGCAGGTGGGAGGGGCAGGAGAGAGAGAAGCAAGACACTCTGCTGAGCAGGGAGCCAGATGCAGATGCAGCAGCGTGGATGCAGGGCCAATGTGGGGCCAATCCCAGGACCCTGATCATGACCTGAGCCAAAGGCAGATGCTTAACCGACTGAGCCACCCAGATGCCCCTGCCTCTTCTATTCCAAAAACCACTAATTATGGTCTTCTGGGGATCCTAGATATACTCCAAACATTACAGAGACACTGAATTGCAGAATCTTCAGAGACTTTATTGACAAGTGGCACCCAGTATGGAAATATACATTAGACTAAGGTGCTATGTAGGTCTAACCCAGGGAAAAAGGCCTTTTTAATCCAGGTTAATAAATTCCAAGATTATAGTAATGTTTGATGTCTTTCCTGCTTCCACACTTGCCATAGGCATTCATCTCAGAGGAAGGAGTTAGAGAAGAATATTGGCATGAGACATAAGATAAAATTGCTTACAGCCTTGACCTATAAATTCTTCCTGAATTCTCTGGATATTTCTATATTTCTAATAAACTCAACCCATCCTTTAATATTTCAAAGGAACATCATGCCAAATAAATAAAAATCTTAGATTACCTAGATTTGCTACATCATATCAAGAATAACAATATATAGGGGCACCTGCTTGGCACAGTTGGTTAAGCATCCAGCTTTTGGTTTTGGTCCAGGTCATGATCTCAGAATTGTGGGATTGAGCCCTGGCATCAGGCTCTGTGCTCAGCACAGAGTCTGCTTGGGACTATCTCTCCCTCTCTCTCTGCCCTTCCCCTCTTCAAATAAATAAAATAAATCTTTAAAAAAATAGAGTAACAATATATCATCTTCCCTTTCCACTTATAGTTTGTTAAGGAGGTTTGTAACTAGTTCCAATATTTGAAAAATTATATCCTTACAAGTGATATTCTAATGAGTCAGCTGTAGGCTATTCAAAGGCTACTCGAAAGGTTACCTGACTTATAAGAATTTCCTATAATTAAAGTCAGACTTCTGTACTATTATTAATATTATAAGTAAGCATTAGCAGTCAACATTGAGTTTTCCTTAGAACCAACCCTTTGGGGATCCCTGGGTGGCGCAGCGGTTTGGCGCCTGCCTTTGGCCCAGGGCGTGATCCTGGAGACCCGGGATCGAATCCCACATCGGGCTCCCGGTGCATGGAGCCTGCTTCTCCCTCTGCCTGTGTCTCTGCCTCTCTCTCTCTCTCTCTCTCTCTCTCTGTGACTATCATAAAATAAATAAAAATTAAAAAAAAAAAGAACCAACCCTTTGGATGTCAACAAATATTGACAAATATGTGGGAACATGTTAAAAATCTATTAGAATCACCATAAATGATGTCTCTATAGTTCATTAAGCATCAAGAGACCATAAATTATTGGGATGAGATAAGCTATCAAAAAGGTCACATAAAAATTATGCTAGATGCCTATTTCATTGAACAAACAAGCTTTCCACAATCCTTATCATTAGGTCATACACTACTAAAGGTTTGACATTCAGGATATTAGTTACAACTCTTAGTTACATGTAAAAAACTCAACTTCAACTAGCTAAGGAAAGAAGGAAATTTTTTGGCTTATCTTACCATGAAGTCCAGATGATCCCAAGTGTAGGGCTGATCCAGGGGCTCCCATGATGTCACCCAGGCTCTGTGTGTCTCTTCCTCAGTTCCTTGCAAAGCTCACTCCAGGAGTATGACTGCTTGAAGCCCCCTGACATCCAAATTCTAAAGGCTTAGCTTAGAAAAAAAGAGCAAGAAGGGTGGCTACTTCCAAAATGGTGGCAGAAGAGCTCTGTGGAAATGTTCCCCAGTGAGATGGGCATAACTGGTGAAAAAATTTTTTTTAATTTTATTTATTTGTTTGATTTAGAGAGAGAGAGAGAGAGAGAGAGAGAACAAGAATGGGGGAGGAGCAGGGGGGAGGGAAAAGGAGAGGGAAAGAATCTCAAGCAGACTCCACACTGAGCTTGAGCCTGACATAGGACTCAATCTCACAACCCTGAGATCATGACCTGAGCTGAAACCAAGAGTTGAATGCTTAACCAGCTGAGCCTCTGGCAAAAATTATTTTTAAAGCAACTATCTAGAATCTTTGGGTATTGTGCTAAGGATCTAAGCAAATGAGGAAACAGAG